GAACAACTGTTCGAAAAAGCTTTGCTCGCCTCCCTCACTCGCGTACTTCTCCTCTTTGTTCCGAAGTCTACTCGCACAGGAAACCCCTCACTTCTTCCTTGCGCGACAGAAGCTTCCTCCGCTGTCCTGATCCTCTGCGAATCGATCGCAGCTCCCGATAGAAGCTCCCGCTCGCTTCTCCTCTGTGCGACGGGACTAGTGCTCAACCGAACTCCCTCATTTCTCAGCGTCGAAGCCTCGCTCATCTCTCGTCCGCGTCAAAGTCGCTCGCCTCACTCGGCTGACCCTCCCTCGCCCGCATTGGAGGTAGGAGGAACACAGAACTTCCCAGAGCTTCTGAAAAGCTTTGGAGTGCAGAACCTTAGCGATTGCAGTAACTGGGTAACAAATTCTTGTTTTGTTCCTATACTGCTCATTTTATTTATTCAATACATGCCATCTAGGAGTTAGGAAGATTTGCATACGCATCCACTCAATTCATGTGTTTTTATGTGTCTATTGCCTCAAACTTTCACATGAGTATGCATAGCACTCAAATATTTTATGTTGCAACAAGATAATGCATTTACCTATTTTTTACAATACACATAAACTTCAGTATTTGTATGTCTACTTGCTGAGTTGAAAGTTTCAGAATGACACAGATGCTGTTTTAAGTCTTATAAACTTGTAGTCTTAGAAAAAATAAAATGTTATTTTGTTTGTTCTGTATTTCTGCTGTTGGGAAGAGTTAAATGTTGTCGTATTCGAGTCATATTGTTGCTGCTTGGAAGCACTAAATAACACTGTTTTGGCTCTTCAATTTCACTGTTTTTGGAGTTTCTACAAGTGTTGTTTGGGTCCATTTAAAAAAAAAAGCTGTTTGAGGAAATTTAAGTGGTGTTTGAGGGTTATTTTGGGACGGGTTCAGACTGGTTTCGCTGCAGTTTTCAGGAGCTTTAAATGTACCCTTTTTTTTAGATAGATTTTGTCACTGTTTTGAGCTAGTTTTTCTAGCTAATTTTGTAACATTTAAAATTAATGTTTTGGGCTTACATGAGAGCTTTTTGAGAATTTTAAAATTGTTGTTTGGAGCATTTTAAATGTGGTGTTTGAGGCTTTTAAAAGTGTTGATTTGGAAACTTTAAAAGTTGCTATTTTGGACCGCTCAAAACATTGTCTTGGAGTAGATTTAAACACTCCTCTTGAGGGCCGATTTAATTACAATATTGAAAGAATTTTACATATTGATTTGGAAATTTTAAAAGTTGCTATTTTGGGTTGCTCAAAACATTGTCTTGGACTCTTGAGGGCCGCTCCTCTTGAGGGCCGATTTAATTACAATTGTTGAAAGATTTTAAACGTTTTTTAGGTTGATTCACTTGCTATTACATCTTTTGATTTGTTGGTTTTGAAAGTGGATCAACCTTTTCTTTTCGTTTGTTTTGGTAATTTTGTTAAAATGGTTAAGTCATAAAGATGGGGATTGATGATTTAATTAATTGGATGATATAAAAAGTCTTAAATCACCTTAAGCATAAGTTAAAGAATAGGCTTCCTAGAGTTATAGGAACACACTCAAGGTGAGAGTCCATCCATCTAGCCCTCAGTGTAGGCTTCTAGACTTTAGGAGCACACCCTAGGTGAGAGTTCATCCACCTAGCCCTCAGTGTGGGCTTCCTAGACTTTAGGAACACACCCTAGGTTAGAGTTCATCCACCTAGTTCTCAGTGTAGACCACCTATACTTTAGGTGCACACCCTAGGTGAGAATTCATCCACCTAACTCAATGTAGGCCTCCTAGATTTTAGGAGCATACTTTAGGTGAGAGTCCATCCACCTAATTCTCAGCATAGACTTCCTAGATTTTAGGAGCACACCTTAGGTGAACGTTCATCCACCTAATTTTCAAATAAATAACGAAATTTGACACTTGACCCTGATTCACAAACTGATCAAGACACTAGACACCAGGATGCACTGAGACGTAATTCATGCTTCCTTTATTAAATCAACAGTGAAATTCCCTCAATGACTTAATCTACAACGAAATCCAGTGCATCAGGATTTGAGCTTGAATATTACATTCAAATCTTCCTGACAATTGGGGAAATTTCTTAACGCCACATATGGATCATTGAACTAGGATAAGTCTAGGGTCTAGGTGGCGAGGACGATGACGACATTGCTTATGTGTGCTTAAACGAGGGATACGAGGTTATATTATTAGAATAGTATCTCATACCTCAAGGATCTTCAATAAGGGAGAGAGAATGACCTATGATACTATTCGCCGATTCTTGGTGGGATCGTTGCCCCCGACACTCTTAGGTTGTCAGTAGTTCTAGCACGATTAGAGTGACTAGTCTGTGGACTTTATGACTTTACAAAATATTTACAACTTTTGATTTCTATACCAATGTCTTATACCCAATCTTGATCTGTACGACGTCTGTGGACTGTACGACTTTACAAAATATTTACAACTTTTGATTTCCATACCAATGTCTTATACCCAGTCCTGATCTGTACGACTTACAAAATATTTACAAAAATAAAATAAAAATTTCTTTTGCATGATTAAAAGAACTCTGCATAAAAAAGACTTAAATAATAACTTTTGCATGAAAATCTTTCTATGAAAATTTATAAAGGTCCACGACTAGTTATTTAGATGGAGGTTAAGAACTATCTTCTGTAGATTGTTGAGTTGACAACTCTTACTCAAGGTCGGGAAGCACACAGCGAAGCACACAGCCTAAGCACACAGCCTAGCTCTGAGCCCCCACTTTTACCAATGTCTTATACCCAGTCCTGATCTGTCATATGTGGTTACAAGTTTCTTTTGCTTGTAATTTCTACTACTCATTTTTCTGACTTTCGTGTTGGGTTTTCTTGCCTCTTTTAATTTAAATCTCCTGCAAATCATACTATGCTCACAATATTAATAACGCAACAGTAGCAGATGCCCAGGTACGCTTTTACAGTTTATCTACAGCATTTTACTTTACTACATTTTACCTTTCAAACACATTTTATTTACTTATGATTTGCTTATTCTGCATGCAAAATCAAAACTGAAACAAAACAAAACCAAACTTTGACACCGAGACTGTGAAGCACAAATCACCAATCTCAAACACTTAAACCTTGAGTCGTCGCTACGAGAGGAGCTTGGAGCCAACTTTGTGGGCAACATGGCGAGGAATTCAAACCGAGCAGCAAGAGGATCTTCTTCAGCATTATCTTTTCCTAGCATAATAACAACTCATAGGACTTTGAGGTAGCTCGCCTAGCGCGACGTAAATCCTCACACTTCCTTTTTAGGCTTTTGTGCAACCATGTTGCGCGACATGAGTCCTAACTCGACTTAGGTTCCGAGATTGTTGTACGGTACGACGTAAACCCTCATATCTCTGCGGGCTATTTGCATAATCAGATATTATGCAAGTGTAAGTCCCAAATAATAAAATTGACATGATCAAACACTTAATTGAGGGCAAATGAGATCCAGTCGGTCTCATTTTTCAAAATTAAAATACACTATTTTCATAAAATTATATACCTTTTAGGTTAAATTAAATCATCTACTTTTCAAAACTATAAAAATACATTTCGAAAGCAAAAAGTTTTCCGTATTGAGCCATTCCCACTTGATTTTTCCACGTCATATCTTGAAAACCTGAACTTTGAATTTTTGAAGACTAGAACCACTGGTCATTATCGAGAGTTTTCTCAAGTGATTCCCGCACTTGAGATGTAATTAACTATAGGGGCTTGCCTATATAGGGAAACTTGGAACTCAGGTAAAATAAACCCAATTTAATCTTTTTATTAAATAGGAGAATTTGTTGGTGACATATAAAAAGTTCGCAAACCAAATGGATGTCACAAACCTCGTAAGTTTGTATGATTGGGTCCACCGCCGCATGATATACTTTTCTTTCGAGAAAGTGTATCATTTGTGGTACCGGACACGATTATACAAATTTATTGGGCAAATGAGATCCAGTCGGTCTCATTTTTCAAAATTAAAATACACTATTTTCATAAAATTATATACCTTTTAGGTTAAATTAAATCATCTACTTTTCAAAACTATAAAAATACATTTCGAAAGCAAAAAGTTTTCCGTATTGAGCCATTCCCACTTGATTTTTCCACGTCATATCTTGAAAACCTGAACTTTGAATTTTTGAAGACTAGAACCACTGGTCATTATCGAGAGTTTTCTCAAGTGATTCCCGCACTTGAGATGTAATTAACTATAGGGGCTTGCCTATATAGGGAAACTTGGAACTCAGGTAAAATAAACCCAATTTAATCTTTTTATTAAATAGGAGAATTTGTTGGTGACATATAAAAAGTTCGCAAACCAAATGGATGTCACAAACCTCGTAAGTTTGTATGATTGGGTCCACCGCCGCATGATATACCTATCTTTCGAGAAGGTGTATCATTTGTGG